AAATGAAAAAATGAAGTGAGTTTTGTTATAATCCGATACATGTGCGTCCATTATAAAGATTTACAACCCTTCCTTTTACCGTTGATCGCTTTAAATTCCGACGCTTTAAATTGGTTTCTTGGTTCCTTGATTAATAATGGTTGTCTATTAAACTTTATTTATATATATATATATAATATATATAGTATTATATATATATATATATATATATATATATATATATATATATATATATATATATCGGTTTTGCTATTTTATTATTTTCTCTGTCAACTTGTAATAGAAAAAACAACATACTCTAATATATTTTGAATAAATTAGTTAAAGTGGTCTCTAACATTGAACCTATTGGTTAGCAAAAAAAGCTTTATTTCGAATTTCCACAATAAATAGATTATTTGTTTAATATGACATTATGATATTTTAAATTTTTTACTAACAATATAAATTAATTTATTTATGAGACAATAATTAAATTATTAATTATAGTATTAGTTTTAAATGGAAGACTTATGAGAGTTGCAAATTCAGTAAAAGCTATTGAACTATTTATTATTTAATAATCATAAATCATACAATATAAAGTAATTAAAAGTTTTATATTAATTTAACGGAAATCTCCAGAAAAGTCCTAATATTTTAGTCTAATTTGTGAAAAAGTCTCAAACTAAATTTTGTTTACAGAAAAGCACAGAATACCGGTTAAAACTTCGAAAAAAACCCTTTTCGGCCGGTTTTACAGATTTTGCCGGTATTCTGACCTTTTTCGTTAGTATAACCAAAATTTTAGGATTTTTCCAAAAATTACATAATAACCAAAATATTGAGATTTTTTTGAAAATTACCATGAAATTAAAGGATATTATTATTAAAAAAATCATTTATAAACATTAAAAATATTTTTATTATAAAAAAAGGAAATACATTTGTTATTAATTTCTAGGAATAAATTGGTGATCTAAGTACTTCTCTATTGCTTCCTAACCACTCAAACTCTCTACGTTCCTTCTATGCATTGTTGTGGGTATGATGGTGAGATGTACTTAGTTAGCATTCCTCTAATGTTGGTGTTCCTCTTATGTTGTTTAACCTAACTACCAACAAACATTCATACCTCACATGTTAACAACCATCGGCTAACACACATCTATAAAATGTGAAAAGTGAACCGTGAATGATAATTTATATGGAAACAAGTGAAGGGTGATTATCTATTTAAATTGTCGTTCAAAGTTTACTTTTCACTCTCGATAGATGTGTGTAATTTTATGGTTGTTACCGGGTAATGTTTGGAGGTTAGGTGGTAGTTAGGTTAAAGAACGTAATGAAAGATTTATATGTTCGTGTAATGATATTTTCTAATAACATGTGATCATATAACATCATGCCTAATAGCAAGTAGACACTTATCGATTGTGTATTAATAAATATTATCAACTCTTGTATTGGTCACGCCTAACATAGTACTTCTCACTATGACACCCACAATGATACATAGGAAGAACAAAGAGATTTTGAAGTGGTCAACAAATAATAGAGAAGTACATAGTCGATCATTCTATTCCTAAAAATTAGCAACAAATGTATTTCCTTTGTTTATAATAAAACATATTTTTTATGTTTATAAATGATTTGTTAATAATAATATCCATTAATTTCATAGTAATTTTCGAAAAAGTCCCAATATTTTGGTTATCGGGTAATTTTCAGAAAAGTCTTAATATTTTGAGCAAACTAACGAAAAATGACAGAATACCGGCTAAATCTACGAAACCGGCCAAAAAGGGTTTTTTTTGAAGTTTTAGCCGGTATTCTGTGATTTTCTGTAAATAAAAATTAGTTCGAGACTTTTTCATATATTAGACTAAAATTTTAGAACTTTTCTGGAGATTTCCCGTAATTTAAAAATAATTAATAATCTAAAATTTTAAATTAATCTGGTAAAAGATAAATAATTTATCTTGAACTATATTAGTTTAGATGACTTCAAATAAAATAATGATCTAATAAATATAAATGATTTAGAGGTTGTAAATCTTTGAATATACTTAGTTGAGTAATCTAATCAATTTTCTTTTGCTTTTTAAAGAAAATAAGCAGGTTTATAGAAACTTTGAAAAATGAACACATAGTCTGAAATCGGTGCGTTCTGGACCCAATTTTTTAAACATGTCATCCACTTATATGACCTGACATGTTATTATGGTCCCTTTATATATATATATCAGTTCACACAATCAATCTAGAACATCCATTTTGGACTTTCCAACGTTTCGGAGGTGCAATACATCACATTTCGGACTTCTCTCAGTTTGACTTATGTCTTCTTGACGAAGTTGAGAATTTGTGGGTATTTGCCGCTTCTTTGTAGCTTATTATGTGATTATATGTTCAAAAAAAAAGTCAATGTGTTGTTTGTAGTTTTTAATAAGAAATAATTTGTGTTGGCTCGATTTTGATGGTTGTTAGGCTTTTTGTAGTATTCGCAAGAACTAAGACAAGTAAAAACCCTACAAAAACTATTTCAACAAGCTATTGAAGCTTTTTCTAAAATTTTCAAATATACCTTTTAATAATTATATAAAAAAACAGTTCTTGTATATGTTATTTTACATATTTCAGCTAGTTTTATCTACTAGTTTTATCAAACATCATTTTTTTTATCGGCTAATTGTCGAGTTTATCAGCTAGTAGCTAACTTTTCTGCGAGGTCGCCTAATATAATCTTAAATGTACTTTTGAAAATATGATCACAAAATGAACCATAACACAAAGTATGTTTTCCGTGTATCTTGCCTACTAAAAAATGGCAGTCCACTGATAGGCCGTATAATTTTATCATGTTATCGATTTTTAAGGTCACACTATAAGTTTATGAAATACCTTAAATGTATGTTTTGAGAGTACAATTAATCACCAAAATAAATCATGGTATTGTATTCTAATTTCATGTCAACGGCCCTATTAATCATAACATAATTAAAGCCATTTTTGTGTATTTACTTACCTTATACCTTTGTCATACTATGTTAGAATCAACAAATGTATGGAAAGTCCATATAACTATAAATGTTCAAGGACAATCATGAATTTGTGCAATCGACGTAACATGACACTAACACTAATAAAAGAGTAAATTACACGAATGGTCCTTATGGTTTAGGATAATTTGCGTGTTTGGTCCCTAACTTAATTTTTTAACTCGGAAGGTCCCTACTGTTTTTTTACGCGATTGGTCCATGTATTACCTAAAAAGACTACTTTGCCCTTTATTTTTTAATTTATTTAAGTAAACACACCTCCAACTCCATCTCCCTCACCTTACCTTACATACCCCACTATTTTTCCTTAGTTAAATAATAGTCTTTTTAGGTAAGACAGGGACCAAACGCATAACAAAAATAAACAGTAGAGACCAATCACGTAACAAAAACAAATAGTAGGGACCATCTGATTTAAAAAAATAAGTTAGGGACCAAACGTGCAAATTACTCCAAACCATAGGGACCATTCGTGTAATTTACTCCTAATAAAATCAACTTCAACATATGGAGTATTCCAATCGAAAATAAGAAGTAGATTGTCTTACTATGTGGAATTTCTTGAAACACACTAGTATTTTCATCAAACATTCTACCAAAATTTCCCAAAAAATATTATAACATGTAAAATAATACCCGGTAAATATCTCCCGGTAAATATCTTTATAAAACATCAACAAATGGCTTCTAAAATGCTCAAGGTTTAAGGCGAGGGAATTAAAATCAATAAACTAATCTACATGAATTAAATTAAAACTATAAGCCCAAATCCTCCAAAATTCATCAAAATAACTAATGTATCCAAGAAGCCTAGCATCAAGTATCAACAATGAATAGCAAGGAGTAATATCCCCCATGTTGTACCTGAATGCATCACCCACAGAATAAATACTTTTGTAACTTATATCCCATTATGAATTCACATGATGGTTTGGATGGATGATTGTATAATTCCATACTTTCGCATAACCAATTGTTTGCAACAAAAACCAAGTATATAAATAGTTTGAAGAAAAAATGATCCCATTAGAAATTTCTTTAAAGTATAATGGATTAAAAAACCATGACTCGAGCTTCACCACTCAAATAACATGTTGCTTGTCAAGCAGCTCGATGACCATCACCAACATGTTTTTTTTTTTTTTTTTTTTTTCTTCATTGCCTTCTGACTGCAAAAACCATCATGTGTAATTAAAAACAAATAAGAAGTGCAATTAATCTGACATCTCACGATGGAAAATTGTAATTTTAAGCGAATATTAAAAAATATGCTTTAAGATGTATGTAACAATCATGTATCCACTGTTTCTTGCACCATTTGAATAGGATCCAACAAATGACCAATAACTCCAAGGCCAAATGGTTATTAATATTATATGACATTTTAGTTCTGCTATAATGATCTCAAGGTATATAGGATTGAACTGAAATCAAAACTGAAGATTTGATGTATCGAGAAAAGTTTATAATAAATAAACAAAGAGTTAATATTAAAAGATTACATAAAAGGCTGCATATATTAATGTTAAGTTTAGCATTAATGTGACATAAAATGGAAAAAGTAAAAAAAAATTACAGTGAAGTACAGGTCACAATAATGGTAACTTGATATCAGCAAAGAAAGATAACTAAACAAAAACAACTGAAAACCAAATATTGCCAAAAGGCACAAAACCATACCTTTTAGAAAACCAAGATGCCATTCACATTGTAAAACAAGGAGTGTCCACTTCTTCCTTTGGCACAAGCTTACCAATCAACTTAAGCAAAGAAGCATCTAATGATCTAGCTTTAATATGATCAAGTAACATTGATACAGTTGAAGCATCAAGTGAAAAACCTCTTCCTTCCATTTCCAGTAAAAACATCTCAACAGAATCATGATGAACATACTTTAAAATTCCTTGAAGAAGAACGCGGTAAGTCACATCATCTGGTGAGCAACCTCTCTTTTCCATCTTAAAAAAACAAGTCTTTTGCTTCACTCACTAAACCTTCCCGACAAAAACCACTGATCATCGCATTATATGTCCAAACATTAGGTTGCAAACCCCTAACTCTTAACTCATTGAAAAGCTTCCTTGCAATATCAAACTTCCCATTTTTACTTGCACCATCAATGAGTATATTGTATACAACAATATCCGAATTTAGCTTATTGTCACCCATCAAATGAAACAACGATAATGCTTCATCCACTTGATTGTTGTTACATAGACCCTCCAAGACTATTCTGTAAGTGCTTTCATTTGGCATCAATTTGTTTGTTTGCATCTCGTTAAAGAGTTCACATGCAGCTTCACTACGTCCAGCTTGAAACAATCCGTGTAACAAGGTGTTGTAAGTGATCACATCCGGTTGCATACCACCTTTTTTAGTTATTTCATGAAACAAATCCATGGCTTCTTCTATCTTCAGTTTCTTGCAGTACCCATTCACTAAACTACTATAAGTAACAACATTAGGCACCAGACCTAGAGACCCCATCAAATTTAAAACTTCCTTTGCTTTGCTAATTTGACCTCGCAAACAATACCCATCAATAAGCGAACTGTAAGTCACTACATCAGGAACCTTCCCTCTTTCAATCATTAAGTTGATAATACAATTTGCATCCTCCACCTTCCCTTCCTTGCAAAGTGCATCAACTAATACGCTATAGGTATAAACATTTAGGGAAATCCTTTTGTCCTCCATTTCTTTGAGCAATTTAGAGACCTCATCCCAACGACATAAGTTACAAAGGCCATGAATCAAAGAGGTGTAAGTGACAACATTAGGTAGGATGCCTTTGTGGAAGACCATTTCTTTGAAGAGTTTTAAAGCATCATCTACCATTTTGTCCTTGCAAAGGCTGTCAATGATGGTGTTATATGTGACCACATTAGGTTTACAACCCTTTTCATCCATTAGTTTAAGCAAAGCAATGGCTGTATCATTATTACCAGATTTGCAAAGTCCTTTAATCATAATGTTGTACATAATTGCATTAGGTTCACAAAGTGCTTCTTTGATCAGCTTCTTAAATAACCTTTCGGCTTTAAGAACTCTATCTTCTAGGTCGAGTCCATTTAAAAGGGTGCTAAAGGTGAAGACATCTGGTAATATAGAACGTCTGAATCCATAGCCTAAGACTGCAAATCCTTCAATCGTGTGGTGCATTTGGCAACAACACCTTATCACAATGTTAATAGTGTACACATCAACAGGAACACAAACAACATTCATCTGTTTAAAAAGCTCAATAGAACAAGAATAATGCTTCATTTTGGCAACAGCTTGCAACAACTGATTGAATTTAACAGCCGAAGGTAGAGGTTGTCTCTGTGTCATTTCATCAAACAGTTGGAGGGCATGATCAAGGTTAATAATCTTCTCACCCACAGATCGAGGATGATTAACTAGTGTTTGACCATTGAAAAAATACGTTGAATGAAATTGAGCTGAAATCGTTTTGGGGGTAAGGGTTCCGGTTCCTGACTGTAAAAATGATGAAGCATTTCTGAATGAGAGGAGTGGGGAACTAGTAGCCAAGGTAGCTTTGCATTTATTGAGGGGATGAGAGAAGAAAAAAGAAATAAGATTTTTTGGTTTCTTCGTAAACATCATAACCATCTTCAAGTAAAATCGAGCTTTCAACTACTGGATTCACTGTGAAAGAGAAACCGGAAAATAATGTTTTTGGCTTCGTTTTCTTTGGTGAAAAACGGGTTGGACCTGGCTGAGTCCGTGAGACCCGCTTGTCAATAAATGTATGGGTCTAAGTCGTTAGAAAACTAATGTTTAATTACATGGTATCCTTTTTCGTGGGCTGAGGGTTGCGGGTTGTACGGTGTACAGACTGTTTTAAAAACTAATATTGGCAAAGTTACCAAACATGAAAACTCGTGCATGGAAAATCAATATGTGTTCATACCATTTTCCAAAGGGGGCGCTGAGGGGGGGGGGGGGGGGGGGGGGGGGCAAAATGGGCAGCTGCACATGGCATAATTTTTTATTATATATATTTATTTAAAAATAAAAACTTATAATAACGATAAGGGCCATTTTTATTTAGTTCGTACCGGACCTTTGAGAATATTTAATTCCTCGGGACCGGCTCTACCATTCGCATTTGATACATTTGTTTTCTCGCGCTGGATGTGGTGAAACTTCTTAACAGAGTACAACGGATCATATGTAGCAATGTTATATGTCTTAAATCCTAGATCTATGGATGTAGTCTTCAAAAGAACTGACTTTGCCATACAAAAAGGCTTAACGGCGCAGCTTGTTACCCGTTTGTCATCTCACTCTTTGTACGATGATAACTAAGATATATTCTTAACTAATTCAAATTAAATTTTTAATATAATAGTTTTTACAAAATTCATGCTGACTTTTCTCTTTACATGTCTGTGTGTAATTTGGATCTGGATAATCAGATAACTAATTTATCTAAGTCGATGATAGTTAGCTAATTTTACATACTTTCTTGGTGCAACTCATTATGTGCATCACCAAAATTTATTTTTTTAGCATTAACAATAAAAAAATAAAAAACAACAAATAAATAAATGTGATTTAGAATAAGTCTAAGTCTAAGTTGGGGATAGTTAGCTAATTTTACATACCTTCTTGCACCGACTCATTGTGTTCATCACCAAAGTTAATTTTTTTTAGCTTCAAAAGTAAAAAAAAAATGTGAATTGGAATACGATTTTTTAAACGTAGCATGAACATGACCGAATATATCTTTCCATTTTCGTTAAATTTACAAAAGGTTGTGTTTCACACTCTTACCAATTTCGTTTGAATGTTTTCTATTGTCTTCTAATTAGGTGTCACCATCGGTGATGTGTACACGACTTGAACCCAATATTTCATCCTTTCTAATTATGAGCTTTGAGCTCTGTTTTATTGAAAGACTTGTTGATTTTATAGTATTGATACAAGAAAACATCGTACTTGCGTTAATGGGTTAATTTTAAAATTATGGACACTTTTGAGGAGCAGGGACAAGAACCAGAGAACATGTGAAATGCTTTTCAACAAGAGTATATATGAGAATGATGTCGTTTAAACAGTTGTTGTAAGTCCCAAATATGCTTGAGTATCAATCAGATCCGTTTGATGGTGCGGAATCCCAATCAAACGGATGATGCCAGATCAAAATAGAAGAGAAAGAGAAGAAGAATAATATGAATCTTCAATGTATTGATGAATGGAATGATGCTCCTTTTACATGAGATTCACACACTTACACACACTTAAGCAGGTAAGCTCCTTTCTCTCTCTCTCTCTCCTCTGGACCGTACAGTCTCTCACACACACTCCTCATCCTTTACATCTATTTATATGGTGGACATGGGCCGTGGCCGTGAACCAGTTCACGGCCGTAAACACCCATTGGGCCGTAAACACTTTTCGATCCTAGACGGAAAATTACGATTGCCTAGAAAAGCAAAGTATAAACCATAATTTTAGACCCAACAATCTCCCCCTTGGTTTATAGTTTTCTTTTCTTTGACCCAACAAGCTCCCCCTAAAAATGTAGCTGACTTTTCTTGTCAATCTTCATTTGGAGCTTTGCTTTAGCTTTTGTCTTCGATTTCTTCACAGCTTCAAGATGAACTTGATGAATCTTCAATAAATCACTTCATCTTGAGCAGTTGGGCTTTTCTTGAAAATTTGACTCTCAACGCACATTGGGTGAGGAGGCTTCTTGTAGAGATTCTTGAAAATTGGCGCTTTCAGCTTGAGAATCTTTAGAGAGAATATCAGAGAGAACTAATCTTCTGGATCACTTCAGCAGGTTTATAGATAGCAGCAGACTGATTGAGGAGGCTTCAATGAATCCGTCAGATAATCTTCAATTGCAGCTTCACCTTGCTTCTGGGGTTGAAGGATTGAATGTTGAAAGAATAGTCTTCATTTCTTGCTCCTTCGAATGAGAATTCTTCGATGATCACGGATGAAGCTTTGGCTCGGAAATCTCGATACAGTCTCCATGAGTCTCATCTACAACTGAATTCACTTTTCAAGACAAAACAAAACTAATAGAAAACTTAGCACACAATATTTTTGGATTTTTTTATATTTTCAAAAAAAATAAAAATAAAACAAAAACAAAAATATTTTTTGATTTTTGATTTTCTTGAACAAGAAATAAAACAGAAATAACACTATTTTTGGATTTTTAATTTTTCTGATTTTTGTTTGATTTTTGAAAATTTTAATTCTCCCCCTAAAATTTGTGCATAGAGGAAAACTATGAACAAATTTAACAAAAACAAAAATATTTGGGATCAAAGTTGTGAGACAATCTTAATTTTGTTTATCAGTCCCTTCACCTTCATGAATAGATATGGTCAATTGCCGGTATTGTGTCTACTTAAACAAAGAATATTGACAAACTTTTCTAAATAAACCATTTAGCTGACGACGACCACGGGTATTGTTGTCCACTTAAATTAAGCAGCGAGATCTACAGACAACCTCTAAATGGTTCAATTTTAGTTGCACTAGAACGTGTTCCCCACTTCCCGATATACCCTGGTTATCAAGAACTTCCAAAGAACTCCTTACTTTAGGTGAGTAAACAATTATTAAGGAGGAAGACAGATTTTAGAGATAGATGCATATGTTGTGTCCCAGGTCGGATCTATTTCAATCACGCAGAGGGGACAATATATGAGTAACAGAGATAGAGGGTTATAGAGATAGTAGGATGCATATGTTGTGTCCCAGGTCGGATCTTCCGATCACGCAGAGGGGACAGCATATGGCTAACAGATAGAAAGAATTTCATAGATAAGGAGGTGCGTAGAAATAGAGTTGCATATGTTGCATTCCAGGTCAGATCTCTTCCAATCACACAGATGAAGCAACATATGACTGACAGATAGAAAGCAAGAAAATAATTTCCTAAAGACCTACTTTATCAGAACCCCCCAGTCGCCCTATCAGAACCAGAATTAAGGACATAAGTCCGTACATCAAGGAAAAGTTAAGCCACAGTTCTAGATGCATATTAATTTAGTGTATCCCGTGGGTTCCCGTGTTTATCTCACTGCTCAATCTACCCGAGCGTCGTATGGTCAGTCCAAACAATCCTATCTAAATCCACACTGTCAAATCCTTCGTGCCTACCAGTACATTGAACACATAGTCTAGACAATTCAGATTCAGTCCCTTACACATGTTTTGACTGCCCATTATCACTTTCTTGATATCACTTCCCAATAACACCTACTAAAGAAAGACATATAAGGAAATTAAAGAAAATTGTCTTTGAAATGAATCAATGTAAGAGAAACTCAAGAGTATCGAGAAGAAAACTCAAATCGTAAGTCACCGATTGAATTTGCATCCAGAAGGTCTGAGAAGAGCACGCATAATCTCAGAACAGATCCGAAAATTCTTCACATCGTTAAACACAAAATCCCATGTGTGATCCTTTCCTTTCTTCCCTTCCCGTAATGGACACATACTCTCAAACAAAGTTCTGAATGTTGTGCAGTTGAGAGATGTCTCCTATCATGTGACAGGAGCAACCACTATCAACAAACCGAAGTCTGATGATATGGCTCCATAGCTGCTTCGACACAGAGCGGGATCAATTGGTCTTTGGAACCCAGTCCATTTTGAAACTTGGTCGACCTTTGTCGTCTACGCAAGATACTTTCTCCCAAGACATATCCTGCTTATCACAAACAGAAGATGAAGAAACATTAGAGTCATTAGGTGATTTGGGAGATTGAACCTTTGGTACCCATCTGTAGTTGGGTTTAATCCATTTCTTGTTCGAGCAGATGGGTGCCTCGGCACTTGCTTTTGAGCTTGAGGTCTGCTTTCGAGATGACTTTGACCTAGCCGGTTTTGGTTTCGTTGGAGCATTTCTTGAAATTGGCTTCTTGGTCGGCATTCCCTTCTTGTTCTTGGGAGTTGATTTCTTGGCCTTGGGAGTTGAACTCTTGCCCTTCATGGCATTCCATTCACCATTTTCTGAACGTGACCTTGAGGGGTTTCTTTTGGAAAAAATCGCTCTTGGCGCGTTCTGCCTCCCTTGTGCATAATAGGGAACGTATGCACGATTTGGACAGTTTCGGGCAATGTGTCCAGGTGTTCCATAGTGAAAACATGTCTTTTTCTTCACTGGGAAGTTGTTTCTTCCTGCCCCTGGTGGCGTGTCCTTGCCTTGTTTCTTATTGTTCCCACAAGCACACTTGCAGCAAGTCGTCGGTTTCGCTTGTTTTGGTGGCTTGTATTTTCCAACAGCAAGTTTAGAAGTAACTGAGTTAGAAGCAGCAGATTCAGAGTTCAAGGAGTCATTGGTTTAACAGTCAACAGAATTTGCAGAACTAGAATTAGTTATGTTCTCCGTGTCCTCATCCTCTACTACTTTACCTGCACATGAAGTAGAAGCATCAGAAACGATCACCTCAACATTCTCAGTTGGCCCAGATTGTTCTGTATTAACTGAAGCTGGTTCAAGGAGTGGGCCAGACTGAGCAGGAATTTCTTCCTCATTGGTCTCAAGGGGTGGGTTATAATTGTCATTGAAGGGAGGTGGTACACTGTGATACCCTAGACCCTTGGTTTGATTATCTTTAAATGTTAATTGTTTTTCTATC